TGCTGGCAAAACTGGAGATCCATTTGCAGAAAAATAAAACAAAATCTGTACCTCACACCATACACAAAAACTAACTCCAGATGGATCAAAGACTTAAATATGAAACCTAAAACTATAGAGTTCCTCAAGGAAAAACTAGGGGCAAATTTAGGAGCCCTAATATATGGCATAAATAGACAACCAAGCACAACCCAAAATGCACAAACAGCAGAAGAGAAACTAGATGAATGGGACTGTCTAAAAATTAACTTTTTATGTACTTCCAAAGATTTCTCCAAGGAGTCAAAAGAGAACCTACAGATTGGGAAAAAATGTTCAGCACTGACATATCTGACAAGGAACTTATCTCTAAAATTTATAGAAAACTCCAACACCTTAACAACAAAAAGACAAAAAGTCCAATTAAAAAATGGGCAGAAGACATGAAAAGACATTTCACCAAAGAGGATATTCAGGCGGCCAACAGACATATGAAGACATGCTCATGATCATTAGCCAATAAACCAAAACCAAACCAAACCCACTGCTGTGGAGTCAGATCCAACTCATAGGGACCCCTCCTTGAGTTTCTGAGGTGGTATCACTACGGAAGTAGATTCCCCAACCTTCCTTCTGAAGAGTGGCTGGTGGGTTTGGACCACCAGCCTTCTGGTTAGCAGTCACATATCTTAGGTACTACACCAACAGAGCTCCCCATTATCCCTTAGAGAAATGTAAATCAAAATAACAATGAGATATCATCTTGCTCCAGGACTAGTAACAAATGAAACAACAAATGCTAGCAAGGATACAGAGAAATTGGGACTTTCAAACACTGCTAGTGGGACTGTAAAATGATGCAACCACTGTGGAAAGCAGTATGGCAATTCATTCAAAAGTTGGAATTAGAAAAACCATTTGACCCAGCCATTCCATTACTAGGTATATATCCTAAAGGAGTGAGAGCCAAGACAAAAACAGATTATTATGCACACCCATGTTCATCTCAGCACTATTTACAATAGCCAAAAGATGGAAACAATCTAGGTGTCCATCAAATGAAGAATGGATAACCAAATTATGGTACATATACACAATGGAATACTATGCAACCCTAAAGAATAATGTAGAATCTGCAAATCACTGCATAATGTGGATGAACTTGGAGGACAGTATGCTGAATGAAATAAGTAATTACAGAAGGACAAACATTGTATTAGCCCGTTAGTGAAAAAGTCAAGGAAAGGTTTATATATGGAAGGAAATTTTCTTTGTTGGTTTCCAGAGATGGGAATGGAGAGAAGGGAACACTATTAGAAAGGTAAAGCCAAGTACTGATTTGGGTGAAGAGAAGGGTAATGTACCAAATGCGAGTGATCAACATAGTGGCTTTGAGGAAGAGAAAGACATAGAGAGGTATATGGGAGATACAGACAACAAAGATGAATCCTTTTGTCAGTGAAGGCAAACATGAATATATGGGTGGACAGATGAGTGGACAGGCTGAACAATTAGGTACGTCTATGAAGGGGAGTGTGCCCAATACCATGTATAGGGTTGGCAGTCAATATTTTTATAAGTGTATTGGTATGTTCTGTAAGAACTCCCAGCTATATAGAAGAGCTGACAAGGGACAGGCTGTAGTCTTCTTGGCCAAAATCAGCTACCCAGAGAGAGGGAGTAGTTGGACTTGTGGGCTATGAATTATGTGTCCATAGTCACAGGCTACATCAAGCTCAACTGGCATAACATACTGCACAAAACACTGCTCCACATCCTAATTAGGCGAGTAGCAAATGGGATCTTAAAAGCTTGC